CGTGGTCTTCGTTCTAAGCCACATCCAGGAGCAAACGCGTAAACTCTCTTAACTCTGGGACACTACAACTAGTGGTACTAAAAGTAGCACTACTATTTAGACATGTGAATTATTATAGACGTGTTATTTTTACTACTACTAAACTATTACTTCTACACCTACTACTACACTATTCGGTACTGGCCTTAAGACCTAGGCGGTCGTACAGGGCACCATCAATAAATGGGCGTCGCCGCCCCCCCCCCCCCCCCCCCGCCCTCTATTGAATTTGTTTTTATCTTTTTTGATTTTATTGCACACAGCGTCCGACACGAGGCTATGCGCCGAGAAACGAGGGAGAGGAGGAGACGAGAGTGCGCGGGGACGTCCGAAGGCTGAGCTCTGTTTGGAAGGATTAGCGGGTAGACGAACGCGCGTTCTCGTGAAGGGACCGAGCCCCGCTGAGCTCGGCCGTGCAGCCTCCCCGGAGTTTGCCCGTGTGGGCTCTGCGGCCGGCTGCTCCTTCTTACCGGCGGCCGGGACGATGCGTGCGCTGCGCCGCCGTAGAGAGGGCTTCTCTGGTGGCGTTCCTTGGAACTACACCGCACGAGAGTCAATGGGAGCCTCGTTCCTTGAAACTATGACGCGCGCCAGCCAATGGGAGCTTATCCATCAGGTCGCTGCAACAGACGACGGGCTTCGCTTCATTGGGACAGGGAAGTTTAGGTGCCGTCTGGCGCAGCTTCAAAAGCGAATGACGTCGGTTCGCTCCATGGGACCAGTTGATGCTTCCGCATTAAAGGGCAACTCCGCTTCATTTTTGATATTTAGAAAACTATGTAGCCCTCTTCAGTATCATATAGGAAGACCCCATGTCAAATATTACGATCTAATTCCGTCTATATATTTAATAAACTGGCCAGCGAACCTTCAAGCGAGCCAAGTCGCCGAAATCTGCCAACTCTAGCGTGCGGCGCGAGGAGCAATCATCAGCGCAGTCAATGCCACAGAGTTGGAGCGGCCAACTTAAACCACTACGTCAGAGGCATGCATACTTCATTCTCACGTTTTGCTTATTTTTACATTTCAGAGCGAAATTTAACGATGACGTCATGAGTTTCTCCTCCCGGTGTTGGCTGACCGGGCGTTCACGTGATCACCGCTGCCCTGCGCGCTTATCAATCTGTTTCTCCGTTCCCCTTCTCCACTTTCGTCTTCTCCCCTTCCCCCTCTCCCCCGGGCCATCACCGTCCACGCCATGCGAAGCGACCTGCCCGCGTCCAAAAAAAAAAGGACCTGCCCGCGTCGCGTGTCCTGTTTCTCGCTCCCTCCCGAACGTCACAAGACCACGTGGTTCGACGTGAGGTGCCCATGACTGTGACGACCCGAGACCAATGCTGCCTGACGCAACCGAAGTTTCGGTTTCGGTATCTGCTGATGTTTAAATTAGGATTACACAAATATTATTCCACATTTCGCGAATCCGGAGACGTAGAGTTGTTGAGTATTACTTTGTGAATGTGAATCACATGGAAGCCTAAATTTTCCGAAATTGAGCGGAGTTGCCCTTTAAAAAGGGAGGAGGGGAATTTACGTTGCGCTCGGAGTTTCTTCAGGGCGCTTGATGGTGTAAGGCCGGCCCTGACACTATTGGTACTACAATTACTGATAGTGTCCAAGATTTAGGGCAGCTCCCACGTCCGGAACTATTATTCGCTAACGCTATACTTAATTCTAGAAGAGGCGGCGACACCAAGCGGAAAAGACGTGAAAGAAACAAGCGGGGAGCTTCCGCTTATTCAGCTGTGCTGCGAAAACTTCCGCCACCTGGCGCCCAAAATGTGTAAAAACAAAAACTAAAAAAAAGGGGAAAGGGGGGGTTGGGGTTGCCGTTTGGAGTTGCGATGTGACACGTATTTATATTCTAAGAATTTAGTTGCGTCTGTTTTCCCGGAAAGCACTGGGGAGAACCAATCACTGCAATCTACGAAAAAAAACTCGCCGAATGCAGAGGCTAAAAATATGTTTAAACGTAAAAAAAAAAAGTGAAAGCCGTTTACAACTCCCTGTAACGCCGAATTGGAGCGCAGCTCTTGAAGAGGAGGGGGGAAGGGTACTGAGGGGAGGTAGACACCTCCTCCTCCTCCATCTTCTCCTCCTTCTCCTCCCCTCATTCTTGAATATGCTCCGGGGGAGGGGTCACGTGACCTCGGGGGGAGGGGGGTCACGTGACTTGGGGAGTCACGTGACCTTGGGGGTCACGTGACCTCTGGGGGTTACGTGACCTTGGGGTCACGTGACCTTGAATGACCTTGGTGGGTCACGTGACCTTGGGGAGGCCACATGACCTCGCGGTTACGCCGGTGGCGACGCCGACGCCGCTCAAACCGGAAACGGGCGCCTAGGAGCTGCGCTCTGAAAAGAAACACTTTGCGTTGTGACATTAAGCATTATGTTTGACGTGCTTACGTCATGGCTAGTGCCACTGCGCAGGCTATCTTTTTAGGCCTCAAACTATTTCAGCCCTTCAGCTGTAGACTGCTGCAATTAACTCTCTCAATTGTGCTTCGAGGAAAAGCAGACGAACTTGATGTCATACGCTGCAGTCAGACCGTTCATCAGACTTGTACGTAATCCGTTACAAGTAACGAAATTACTTGTAATCCCTTACATTTATCGGTAGTTTAGTAACGGAATAGTTACATATTTTCAAGAGTAATTTTAAAGTAATTCCCTTACATTTTTTACGTAATGAATTCCTTGTAATCCGTTACATTTTTTTCAGGACCAGCCCCCCCCCCCCCTTTCTAGGGAAAAGATCGTTTTTATTTTGGTAAATTTGAGCGCAGTGACACTGTCATGCGAACTGACCAGCGTAAAGGGAGGCTTGGCACTCCAGTTCCGCAAAGTCTTTTTTTTTTCTTTTTGCAACACCAAGCCCCTGAATCTATTTTTTTTTTTTCACCCTAACAAAACGGTCAAAAGATCCAAAGAAACATTTCCAAAACAAAAAAGAAAGAAAGGCGGGGGGGGGGGGGGGGGCAAGGTATGTCCGCTTTTTTTAGTCTCTGTTTTTTTGTTTACGATCGAAGATGGGGAGAGGAGGACAGCTAGTGATTGTGTGCCTCTTCGGGATCTTGAGGCGGAAAGTGCACAGACAAGAAGTAACAATAGCGAATTGTAGTAGACCGTTCCCGCAGCCCGCTAAGCACCCGGATAGCGCTCCGTAATCCGCCACCACACCTTGAACTATGCAGACAAGGCTGGCTAATGTCCTTCTCTATTATAGTGACTACGACCATTTTCATAATGTCACAACACGAGACAACGCTCCGTCTACCCAAAAATTCATTAAAGAGATGCGATAGTCTGTGAAGGTGTTATTGCCACAACCATCCTCGTTCGTTGCTGCACACTTATCTTCTCTTAACGTGATGTATTTTTCCTGCTCTTTTCACCTTATTTGACCCTGTTTTAAAAGCTAATTACTTTTTTGTAGTCCAACTTCTAGGGTTGGCCCACTTTATTTGTGAACTCCAGCCAGGTTATCTGCATCTCAGACACCCTTTTCGCGAGCACTTCGAAAACGGTAATAATCTTCCTTTTTTTCTTCTTCCTATTTTTACCCCAGCAGGACGCATCTTATCTCAAGCAGATATTTTTGCAAATAAAACATAATGGTGGCTGACGTAGATTTGATATTCTGGGCTAGAGGAGCGAGTGAAACTCGTGAGTGGGGCCATAGTGTGTCTCTATATTAGTCTACCTTTCACTGCCCGTAGCATCAGCGGACGTCTATCTGGAGAACACCGGAGTAAACTGCAGTCGGCCCGTGCTCCGTGCGTTTTTGAACGGCACCAAGAATGGTGCATACAGCAAACGTGCGTTTACATTTCTTTGTTAAAAAAAAAACGTTCTAATTAATTGTTGTTATGAGTGTCCGGGTGATTTTTTTTCTCGATTATTTATTTTTATATATTGGGAACTCTTATTCACCAACGTCTCAAACGAGGCTCGACCTGTTCATAACCAAAGAAAGACGAATATCGAGCCAAACCTTATTTATTATTTAATTATCACATTACTGTTACCAACTCTACTAAAACTCTCGAATATCAGGCAACGGCTGCAAGGACGAAGCTTCGCTCTATCTTCAAGGTAAATAGTACTTCCGTTGCTTCGCTGAAAAAGCTCAATGCAGAGCATGAAACATTCGTGAGGGACAACATGGCACTCCCATGCAGTGCCTCAGTTCAAAGGGTGTTCAGCGTAGCAGTCGACATCTTCAGTAAGAAATGACGCAAAATGTCTGACGAGACATTCGTGAGCCAGCTGTTGCTCAAAATACTCAAGGTCAATAAATGGAGCAGGTGGCAGCAATAAGAACTTAAATAACCCCATTCCCTTTGTTTCTTAATTAAGGACAATAATGTTGAAAGTAACGCCACGAAAGTAACGGATTACTTTTGGGGGTAACGGTCACCTACTTTTATGAGGGGGTAATTGTAATTGTAAAAAATTACAATTTAGCCTTGAGTAATTGTAAATGTAATTCCTCACTATTTTTCAGTAACGTGTACAAGTCTGCCGTTCATACATCACAACGCGGAGTTTCTCTGCAAACATGATGACAGAATTATCTGCGTACAGGCCTCAAGCATGTCCCAAGCAAGTTTGCTTATACATATCTATGCCTCGAACGTGTCTACAGACAGTGTTTGTCTGTGCAGTGTTACAGGACCGCCACACAAGAAACAAATTTGCCTCAGACGGTGTCTGCCGCACGCACGTAGCCAAGGGGGGGGGGGGGGGGGGGGGGGTGCATAGGGCCCGGGCCGCCCCGAAATCTTCCTTCCTAGGCACCGTGGTTTACCAAAATGGGTTTACCATCACTTCGAGAAAACCGGCCCTGGTCTGCAGACTGTCTTTTGCACGATGTAGGACCAGCCTGACTGCAATCTTAGAGTGACGGAGTGCCTGCACATGAACGTTTGTTTTAACGATGCCCTTCGCTCGCGCAGTGCTGCCCGAGAGAGGTCCGGTGATCGAAGGCGTTCACGCTCGTTACCAGTTGGGCGACATCCTCAACGCCACCTGCAGGTCGAGGCCTTCGAAGCCCGCGCCTTTCCTGGACTGGTTCATCAACGGAAAACCCGTGAGTGCGCTGCTAGGAAGGTTGTCGTACCTCTCAACCTTGCTCCAGCCGTAGTCACTCTGCTTAATACATCATACACAAAAGACAGACTGCGAACATTGTATGGGAAGTATTTCTTTCTTGTGTGGGCAGCCCCGTCACATTGGTTCTAAAAAATATTGTCTGCGGGCATGTTCAGAGCACACACATATGTATGAAGCACACATGCTTTGCAAACATGCCCGAGGCGAGTCCGCAGATGATTTGATCTTCGTGTCTCCATCGAATACCTTGTCTTTTGTAGGGTGTACGGACAGCGTGACTGCTGCTTAATACAACGCATATAGGTTTGATTCTTTTTTCGCGTTTAGATGCTTTCGTAATAAGACAAACAACCTAAAGCACATACAACCACACATAGGCTACAAACACTGTTGGGCATATGAGGAGCACATATCGACTAATATCTATCGCTGCGACCCGGAGGATTTACCTGCTTCCGTATTTCTGTTTTCTAAATAACTAAAAGCAAGGTTGTTGTTGTTTTCTTGCTTATAATAACTTTTATGAACAAAATTGCTGTTCAGTGTCACGAACAACGTTAAACAGACGGGCGCCGACGCATTAAGCTACTGAAATCAGTTGGTTTGACTTGAGGCGTTACGTGGAAGCACTTAAGCTCTCTGTTATGGCTACATCGAAAACAGCATTTCCAGTGAGACATTGTTTGAATGGTGTTCTTGATAACCTTGAGGGATGTAAACTCTGTGCGACGAAGAATTGAGGGAGAGGAGGAGTCAAGAGAGTGCGGGGTACTCAGAACGCCGAGCTCTGGTTGGAATGATTTGTGAGTAGACCTAAAGCTAGCTGCCTTTGTCTCCACTGCAGTCGTCAAACGCATTAGATTGCCAAACGCCGGCTTTCGACGGTCGCCTTAGAACCCGTCCGAACAGTGAGTACAAGAGACAAAGCCAGCTAAATTTACATCTACCCACAAATCGTTCGAGTCAAAGCTCGGCGTTCTGACGTCCACGCGCGCTCTCGTCTCTCCTCATCTCCCTCGGTCTCTCGTCGCATAAAAACTGTTTCCATGTTTACAAAAATGTAGCAAGAGCTGCTGTGCTTCTAACCAGAGTCCTTCGATAAGCTGCTGGTCACGAAACGTCTCCGTAACGCTATGGAAGAGCTCGGTACGTGACCACGGGCGGCGACGGCGTCGACAAGGGGGCTACGAGCCTGCAATGTAGACAGCACCGTTGGGAATTTGGCAACCGGAAAATGTATAGGAATTTCGAACGTCGTCTGAATGAACCACCCATAGATGACGGTGACAGGTCGTCGCATCGAGAGTGCTTCTCGTTACCGTAATCGTCTTCTGCTTTGTACGCTCAGTCAACTGCTCACACTTCCATGTCTCCAACAATGTTTAAAATTATATCGATTTCATTCCTCGTTATTTTCTCGAAGTGACCTTTGAATACCCCCATCACCGTAAAATTTCATCACCGTGAGTAGCAGCATCATCACGTTTAGGCACTGCGAAACAGGAGGCTCGATTGTCTAGTACTTTTTCGCCTGTGAAAGCCTTGTTTTGTTTAAAAACAACTAACAAATCAGGCTTATTTCGAAGTTTTTTTTTGTTTTGTTTTTGTCAGTGATTAATAAAGCATGACCGGTCCTTGCACACAGTAAACAACTACGGGAATTACAAAATTTTGATGAACCAAAAAAAATGTTTTAATTACTTCTAATCGCGAATTTCAAAGGGCCAACTCAGAGATGAATGACCAAACGAAAACGCCCCTTCGAGGACGGTGACGCCCTAGCGGTGGCTCTTGACCCGGTACCGGTTTCGTTGCCAGTAAGCAGCGTATTGAGGGACTTTGCTAAATCTTTTCATTCAATTTTAGTCAATGGCCCGTAACTTTCGCATGCGGCCATCTCAGCAGGACTTGTCCCCGTCGAAGTTTCGCCATTCTGCAATGCGAAATTTACTTTATGTTTCAGCAATATAAACCTTGAACGTTATCATTGGCTGACCTCATATCACAAAAGGCGAGCATTAATCGCCGAAAATTAACATTAAGATATTGACTTTATGCAACTTGCAATAAGAACAGCTCCTGACGCCAGTTGTTCCCACTTTCGTATCCAGGTAGCAGAAAAAATAAAAAAGCTTCTATCTTTTTCCTTTTTTAAAATTCCATTTTAGTTTTAAAAAGGTCTAGGAGTTCACTTTCCCGCAGAACACGGAGTAAGCCAATCAAAGCGAACTGTAGAAAGATCTCAGCGAATAAGAAAACTCAGAATACGATTAAACCTCAAACTGCAATGTTCGTCGGGACGATGGGCAAGTCAAACGTTAGGCTTAGTGTCCATGCGCATATCATTGTTTTTTTTTTCTTTCTTTTTTTTAATCGCAATCTTAGCTTTGTCATTAGTTAGGCTCCTTATATCGCTCGCTGTAATGGCTATCTTCGTGTTTTGCTAGAAAATGCGGTCACAGACTGTTTTATTTCTTTTTATTGTATTGATCTTTTTTAATTTGTTGGCAGTCCAAGCGTGTCTTGCTCTTTTTTTTCTATTCTTGTTTTCTCGATGACGTTTGGTCATTGTGATTGACAACAAAGAGAAGTGTTCGTGCACGATAATCAAACCGAGGTACACATTACATCAACGACTATACTTTTCGACTGGCATTGTCGGATACATGTACGTAGCCTGCACCGGCAGGGAAACAAAAAAGAAAGAGGATATATGTCTGCGTCGCTTGTTCATAATGCAGGACTGGCGTCCCGGGACTCGATATGAATGTTTGAGCGACCGCTTTGTCGACCGTGATGTAAGAACTACTCCGATGCACTACGGCGTCCTTTGCCTGTCACGGAACCCGTCCACGATAGGCGTGGTAATTCTTTTTTTTTTTATGCCACAATTTCTTCTTTTTTTTTAGAGCGCAGCTCTTAGGCGCTCGTTCCCGTGTTTGCGGCGTCGGCGTCGCCGCAAAACACGGGAACGAGCGCCTAAGAAGAGGGTACGCAGGAGGAGGAGGGGAGAGTACGAAGGAGGGAAGAGGGGAGGGTACGGAGGAGGAGTAGGGGAGAATACGAAAGAGGAGGGAAAGATATGGAGGAGGAGGAGGGTACAAAGGAGGAGGTGGACACGGATGAGGAGGAGTGTGTAGAAAGGAGGTTCCGTGATCACGTGAAGTTCCGTGATCACGTAACCACGTAAGGTTACGTGGTTACGTGATCACGCGACCAGATAACGTGATCAAGGTTACGTGTTTACGTGAAAAAAGTCAAATTTGGGGGTTTTACGTGCCAAACCAACGACGGGCATCTGGCACGCCCCAGCGGAGGACTGAGGATTAATTTCGACCACCTGGAGATCTTTTGACGTGCAACCGAAAGCTCGGTTACACGGTGCCTTCTCCGCAATAAGCCTCCGTCAGATTGCGGGCACCTCGGCCGGGATTCGAACCCGCCACATGGGGATCCGTAGGCCGACGTGGTTACGTGATCGTAACAACGTAAAGTAACGTGCAGAAAGACGGTTACGTGATCACGTGAAGTTACCTGATCACGTAGGGTTACGTGATCACATCGCCTTACGCAATCACGCGAAGTCTATATTTGTACACATATATATATTGTCACGAATGAAGGCGGCAAGAGGATGAACAGTGAACTGAAAATAAAGGTTTAATTGGCGAACTTGTGCCAAACAAAATAAAGAACTTGCGTCGAGACAGCCAGAAAGGCGGGCGGCGATTTGGCGGCGTAACAGCAAGCGAGAGAGAGACTGACTCGACGAAGTCCCGCGCAGCTCCTTATCTAGTGTCCTTCACTACACTTAGTTTCCCCTTACGTCCGGACGCAGCGGACGCTACGAGTTATCCCAGCCAATCTCGCTCTGTGGACGTAGCCGCTTTCCGCGCGTCGCTGTGGCCCCTCTCCAAGGTCACGTGACACTCACACGGCCTTGGATTGGCTCCAATGACTCGCAGCATCCGCTGCGCTCGGACGTAAGGTGATACGGAATATATCTCGAAAATTCGGCGAAGAAGGTTGGAGCATCCCGCACTCGGGCCGAGAATGAACAGGCACTTTCTAGAACAAAAAAGTAGGACGAAATGACAAAAGTTACGTCCCGAACAAGAATAAACGCAAATCTTCTAGAAGTCCATGACCGACCGTTTCTTTCTCAGCCCTGCGGATGGCAATATGTCCTTCTCAAGTTGTTTAACACGGTATATCGCAAAATCTAAATACCTCAAGAGCTGCGCTCTAATTTCGCATTACAGAAATTTGTAATCGTCTTTCATTTTTTGCATTCGTTTTTCAGACTTTTTTTGTTTTTTGTCTTACGTAGTAAGCGTCTCTCAGATATCGTTTTCAACTGATTATTCTACGAGGTCGAGGACTGACGGTTGACACGCACTCCGTTTCACTTGAAGTCCGACCGTAGCCGAAGCTACGAACTGCTGAGGCCGATCAAGTAGCGACAAAAGGTCATCGTCGCGGCACCCATCCGTCTTTATGCGTTGTCTATCACCGGCTAGACCAATCACGCTTAGTGAATGCGCCGAGATTCTGCGCTTTCCGACGGCAAACCCGCAGAGACAACGAGCGCCGTGACTTTGCACATTTGACGCTGCCCGATTGGCTCCGTCGAATCGAAGAGTCCGCAGCAGTTGCATTTGGAGTCAAACAGAAGCTTCGTTCGATTTACTGGCACCTCCTGCACCGGTGCAGGAAAGTGTAGGTATCTGCGTTGAGATACGACCGTAAGTACACCGCCCTACACTTTTCTGCACCGTTGCGAAATGTGCAGGTAAATTAAACGAAGCTATATATAGTATGTCCCCGGGACAATGAAGTTTGGTTCGACAGGTGGCGCCATCTTATGCGGGATTTTCGAAACTCTGAGGCGGCCCGCGCGGCCGCAACCATTGGACCCGATCTGAAGTTCGACGTCCGAGCGTTCTGTCCAACTCGAACGCAGAGCTCGCGTCCAATCGTTCGGTGGTTACGCCTTCCCAACGTTGCCTATTTTTGCTACCGGCCACGCTGACTAGCAGCCGACCGAGGCGCCTCCTGTTCACTGCACCGGGGCCATGGTAGTTTCAGTCACGTCGTCGCTATCTCGGAAGCGGGTCCTTGGTGAATGCGCCGATTGCGGGCTGCAGAGGTGGGATCGGCGTGACTGTAACCACTGCGTCACTCTTCTAAGCGTCATTAAGGCGAAACTTGGAAAACGTTTTCTGCGCCCAATTTTCAATAAAAAAACGCGATATTGTTAGATCAATTCATAAAAAAATTTGTTTATTTTCGCAAATGTTGTTTTAATTAGTCTAGAGTTTAATAGTGATTACCGTCGTTATTGCGATTGCCATATGACCCATCAAACAATCAATAAAAAGTTAATAAACATTTTTTTTAATTATTAGCCTAGTGATTCTGACGGTTATCCTGCCATATAATTTCCACCGATCCGCATAAGCATACAATGAAGACGGCAGAGAAGCAAATGTCACCTCCTTATTGTTTTAGTAAAATTTTTATTATTATTACCCCTAAAAGAAGATAACCCTATATACTGCAGTATCTGCCGCATATTTTGAATACCATCACCGAAAGCCGACGGGACCTAATTTAAGTTACCTAAATTTCCGATCCGTGCGTTCAAAAAGTCAACACACTTAACGTGATTTTTTTTTTTCATCCAATAAACGAGGCAAGAAAACCCTGATCCTGCAGACAAACACCGGGAGAAAGCAGAATATGTGAATCGCAGATTTCCGCCTCGCAAAAATAGACGCCACGTGACGGGACTTGAGGTAACATGATGCAGTTACGCACTTTAATGTCCCCGCTAAATTGAGTGGGAAAATTGACGTCGCGAAACTTCAGGTTACGTGCCAATAAGTATCCCGCTAAATCAAGCGGGAAAATTGACGTGACTGTCCTTTGTGACGGTTTTCTCTTAGAATTCGGCTAATAAAACACGTTATATGTAAAAAAAAAAAAAAAAAAACGCCATCAAGACACAGGGTTCGTGCGCGTTCTGTGACTACCAAAGTATATTGCTTTCTTTTCGACAGTTTCTGAAACCACGATCTAGCGTCAGCATTTTTGTTCGCTGAAAAGGATAATTATGTAAACAGTGCGTTTTCTTAACTCTATAGCCTCTGAAACTTAGCCAATTTCTTAACCGAAAATTGAGTAACAATAGAAACTTTAATGCACAGACGTTTCGGAAAGAGTCTTTGCTTTCTCAATGTTTACGCACTGAGAAAAGAAAAGACTATTTCCGAAACGTCTGTGTATTAAAATTTCTATAAATATCTTGATAAAAGATATTTGCAAGTACATCAAATTTCTCAAACATGCTAACTGAGCACGGATGTGGTACATGTCTTACGTGGGGTGCAACAACGCGGACACCTTCCTCAGTGGAACGCTTACGGGCTAAACAAAAATGAAAAAGATGGAAACTTTAGTTTGAAGATAGGCGCCGAAGAAACAAGGACAAGAAGAGACTTAAACACTGGCGCTCTTCTTGTCCTTGTGTTTTCGGCGCCTATCTTCGATCATGAACCAACTGGCCCAAATTGCCATCTTGAAACTTTAGTTATGGTATTTTGAGCTCTGGCACTAACTTAGTGGCCATACTTGCAACTAAACAAAAAGAGGCGATATGGGTTAGTCTGTTAGCTAATTAAAATATTTTAATTGCTTTTTCCATATTTTCATTTGTTGGGGCATAATGTAATTGGAGGAAACACGTTTAGCCTTACGATATACCATCCGTAACGTAAACAATTGATACACAAATTCCTAGTGGGTGCTACGGGGCAACAAAATGTCAACCTCGAGCACGGCTCTAACCCAACATTAACGGACAAAGCGCGCCCGTCACGTCCCTCCCTCCTTCCTGTGCATGCGTTGCAAACCCCACTTCCGCGCCGGCGTCACGGTGCCTGCAGAGAGTTTTGTGTAGGACCAGTGTGTTGCAGGGCCGCCCCACGAAAAAAGATAATACGTATCAAGGCAGTGTTTGAAGACTGTAGAGCGAGTGTACGCACGACGAAGTCCTCCTCGTACGTCCTCGTTCCGCAGGCGCCCCCTCACCAGGTGTCCCGACAGGGGCCGTACCGGCGGGCCAACGCGCTGCAGGCGTCGGTGTCCACGCTGCGCTTCCAGATCACGGCCCGCCACCTGGCCCAGGGCTCCCTGAGGCTCCAGTGCGCCTCGTCCATCAACAAGAACCACTCGCGGAGCAGCCAGGAGCTGCTCATCGGCACCCAGAGGCATCCAACCACCGAGAAGAGTACGTGCGTCTTTGTATATGCGCGATGCCCGAACCTCGACGCAATGCGTCGTCGCCGCGCTCGATGTCTTCGTGAGTTTTCTATCGTGATCTAATCACGCACTTCAACAAAAAAAATTGACTGCATGTTCGATCATTCTGACCAACGTGTTTAAATGCCGTTGCTTTATTGTTGGCAAAAAGTGTTCTTAAAAATAAAATGCTATTTAAATATATTTTTCTAATGTTCCTCGAGTCGTTCAATCTTAGGATTGTTAATGTGGTGATGATGCAAATTTACCGCACGCAAACAGAGTGTGGCCATCATTGGCGGCACTACAATTGCGGTCGTGGTTGTTCTCGCTGTTTCTGTTTTTCTTGGCGGTGTTGTCGCTGTCTTCTAATTTGGACGTTATACCGATCAACAGCCCGCGTAACGAGAAGTGCGCTACAAAGTTCATGCAACGTAGTTCGGGAACGCCTCGCATGAAGACGCAATTGATGGGGGTGCCGTGGTCGGGATTGTGGCGCTGCTCACGATGCATGTAATCCGAACGATTCACGCACGAACTCGATAAACCACGGATTGCGTTGCGCGTTCACGCTAACATATCCGGCGACGACAATGGGCGTCGTGTCACAGTCGGTCGCTTCCGTGCATCAGCGAACACTTTCACCAGCGGCGTAGAACTGACGAAGCACTCGGAGAGGAAACGTTTCAAGTTCAATTTGGTTGTGTTTGGCGATACGTAGGCGACGGTGACGACCGTGCATACGCTGCAAATGGTCTTTCAGAGGGCGCAGGCGTCGCCGCAATCGCGGTAAGGGGGTGGTGTTGGCAGCGGCGGCGCTGGTACCGGCAACGACTTCTCCCTCCGACTACTTGTGGAGCTGCGTGAGGCCCCTTTTGTCACACGCGGATCTCGCTGAATTTTCTGGGTCACCAAGAGGGGGAAGCGCGCTTTCCTGCCCCGTCCCACTCCTCCTCGTTCCGCGCGCTCATTCTACACCACCTGTCTCTGATCCTGTCTTTCTTGATCTTTCCACCCCTCTTTGCTCCGCGCGCTTTCTCACACCACTTGCTTCTGCTCCTCCCGTTCCTGCGTGCTTGGCCTGTAGCCCAGTCAGCAGCGCACTCGGCTTTCAGCTGGCATCAGTTGGCGACCGACCTACGCATTTCGCACTATAAGGCTACCGCTTTAAGAGCAGAGGATCGCTGCGCACTCGCTGGTATAGTCGGCAAGCGCACAAAAACGACGCGCGCCGTGACGATGCACTTTTGGTGATGTCCGTCCGGTGACGTCACATCTGTAGAATGTTAAGTCCCTCAGTGAAAAGCGGATTGAAGAAAGACGGCAGTGTGTGAAAGAAGGGGAAGCGTCGTTTCGTCCGAACGGTGTTCTTCAGTGCAAAATCTGGAGGTGAAACTGGAGCGTCAAGACTAATTCACACACTTGCGACTGCTTACGACCGTTGTGCGCAATGAAGCCTTGTGATCTCTTGCTACGAGAGAATGCGCTGGTGCGCTGGTGCCAGCTATGAGGTATTTCAAAATAAAAAATAAATAAAAATAATGACCAATGCGCGAAGAAAAGGAAGTATACAAAAATGCGAACTGTTCCACGGCTAACCGATAAATGGTGCCAGTGTGTGTTTTCGTCGCAAGAAATCCCGACAGCTTTTAAGGCCGTAAAAAAGAGAAGCAGACCGCAGCTAACGCCACGATCCGATACAGCACCAAAAGTGTATTGCCATGGCGTTCGCCGTTTTTGTGCGTTTGGTATCATTGACTGAATCAATCACGCGCAGTAAATGCTGCGTGATCCTGGACTTTTGTGTGTGTGTGTGCGATTGGTTTAGCCGGTGATACCAAACGATTACTCCATCTGTTGCGTGCATCGTGGTTTGGTAGCTCAGCCCCCACTGAATGTATGGCGCTGTGAGGCCCGTGCACGCATACAGCGTAGCGGCGGTAATTCAGCGCTGATACAGCGTGGCATCGGTATTGCTTGAATTCATGACAGCGCTGCATGAGTGCAGTGTTTATATACCAACATACTGTTTACAAACGAGCCCGCTTTGCCCACACCAGGTGTGGGCACTGCGCACGCGCAGAAACCAGATTCAAAACGAGTGAAGCGTCTGCGCATGCACGGCGCCGACAGCAGCGCCACCGCAGCGGCATGACGTCAGCGGGTTGAGTCGGTCTATAGTATTGCTTCAGCGCTAAGATAGCGCTCCGTTGTATGAGTGCGCCGATCTTTAGTCCGTAAATAGGTGTTGGTGACGTGTAAGTATAACGGCGAGCTTATTGTAGACGAGGGGAAAAAAACAATTGCTCGCGTGGCATTTCCACATCTTGACGCTGGGCTAATGACGTCTGTTGTTTTTTGTAGGCTACGAAGAGGAGAACGCCCCGAGCGTGAGCGGAATGAAGTCGTACTACTCGGTCGGCGAGCCCGTGGACCTCAACTGCAGTGCCGTCATGACCACGGACGAGATCGAACTCGAGTGGTTCATCAACGATGACGAGGTGCCTCATACGCCTTCCCATCTTGAAAACAAACGTGATCCTTGAAGGAACTAACTCAGCTAAAATTCACGTGTTTCGAAGCTATGAGTGTTAGGTGTTCGTTTGTTTTTTTCTGATTTATTTTCTTACAGCGACAGCTATTAGTAGCCCATTGCCTGCTTTGTCCACGGCGGGACCGTAAACGCCGTCGGTTTCCCGCTACATTTAGCAGAAAAATTTATGTCACGTGACGTATTCACCAATTTAGGTTCCCCTCTAAATTTAGCGAAAAACTGACGTCACGAAGCCTATGCACCAATTCAGTTATCCCGCGTAAGTTTGGCGGGAAAATTGATGTCACCTGACCTGACGCCACGGGACCTACACGCAAATTCAGGTTCTCCGCTGAAAAAATCGACGTAACGTGACCTCTGCACTTATTCAGTTTCCCCGCTGAATTTGGCAGAAAAACACATCACGACCTTAAAATCACTCACTCATCAACAACGTATCGAGGCTCAATCAACGCAACGTCATTTCCATATCAAATCACCGTGTAACGCGCGATTGGCGCAATGTCAATCGATCGTCATTGTCATATCTTCGAATAAGCAGCACAGCTGTCGCCGTCTAAACGCATTACGTCGTGTGATCGTCGCGCAATTTTTTAAGTTCGCTAATTCTTATACTTACCAGCTTCGCAGCCAAAGTTTGTCTGGGGCTGGTTCACACTGCACCATTTTCTTACGTTACGTATAAGTCACCAAAACATCTCTGTCTCGAACGTCACGTGCCAGGCAATCTTCTTGAACTGGCTGTCACGCTTAAGATGAAGCGCAGATGTCCCAGTGACCTGTACGTCACCTTTCGTGACGTGACGCAAGAAACGGGGCGGTGTGAACCAGCCTTTGTTTTATTCAGCCTCAACTATGTTCTGATACATTATCGAGGCCAGTGTGGCTTTCACAAGGTTGCCGTCCCCCACTGTTGCGAGAGCACTTGCGCGTAACTTCTTGGATTCGCTCATGCTCGCGTAAGTGGCTTTGACAGCGTTTGATCAACGCGGAAGCTGCGATGTAGCTTTGACAACGTAGTATAAAATTGTACGCGCCATGTATAAATATGTGTACTTTATTGCAGAATATCTGGACTTCATGATCTGAATGATAGACGTGTCTCAGACTGACACCGATTCCACAACCTATGTCAAGTCGGAAGTGTGACACTGTATGGCGAAGCCATTGTCCGACATAGCTAATCTTAACCAAAGTCCCGCACCTAGATGTAGCGTTCGCCAAGTAACAAAACGATACAAAATATCTTATAAATGCAATCGATTATCACAAAGTAACCTAATTAACATTGGTGTAAATACTGGAGGTTCATACTTTGCCTCTTTCCATGGTCAAACCGCAATTGCTAGAACCGCGAGGTTCTTGCGGTTGGTCGCACTTCGGCTGCATTATCTCTCGCGCCGCGGGAGCAGGGGTCAAAGATGTCCACTTGCCTTTGTAGCCATTACGATTAGTCTATATTAAGACGCGATATGTCCTATATTTGGTTGAAGCGGAACTCCACTAATCTAATCATGGTCGCTTGCCTCAATATTATGCCCAGAAGAATTTTGATCGTTATTGAGCCGATTTCGATCAATCTTTTGTTTGGATAAAAAAGGCCGAACTAGACCTTAAAGCCGGGTCACACTGCTCATAGGCCATACAAAAGACAGTCTGCAAACACGTGTAACAGCAATATCCGTGGTTCGAATGCCGCGTGTTAAGTTTTCTCCTTGAACTCATTGCCATGCGGCATTCGAAGCACGGATCTGTGACTCGCGTTCGAATCTGTACGCAGACTGTCTTTTGTAATATTAACAGCAGCATGATCCCGGATTAAATGTGATGTCGAAAATATGCTTTCGCAAACACATTCAAGTTTTGATCTTCGCCCTTCTTTTTTTTTTTTTTTTTTTTATTCAAACGGAGCGTTTGTAACAGAAACATTGAAAAAATTGTGCCAGAGACATGCAGGTGTTTACTGTTTGAACAGTAGTACTTGTTCTCAACTGATTACAAAAAAGTTTGACGCGCGAAATAAATGCCGTGGAAGCTCGTTCCGGCACTCCGCCAGCAGCACGAAAAAAAAAATACGTGACACGCTTCGTTTTTTAAACGGTCTGCTCATCCTGCGAAGCTGCCTACCGTGACGTCACTTCACTAGGGAAAACATGCAGACCTTTTAACGTTGGTGTTGGCATCGCCGTCATTTGCTGTTCCTCTCAATACCTAGCCTCAATTTAGAATTACTAAATAGCACGCCGGGAAGAGGAAACGGCTATTCAAGAAATGTAATTTGTTATTCTACGTATCACTCTATAGTCGTCGACGGTTAAGAGTAAACTGGAAGCTCCTCCCAGCTCTTTCCACTTTAGCAGAGCGAATGCTGGAGAGGAGGTCGTCTCCTCTCCACCGTTCGCTCTACTATATGGGGGGATATGGGAGCAGCTTCCTCTAAACTCTTAACCCTCTTAACCTGTCGCCGACTGTAAGTTGGACAGTAGCCGACTCTACAATCTGATGTGGGCAATCAGGCAGCGCAAAAAAGTGCATCGTCACAACGATCGTCTTCTTTGTGTGTTTGTGCCATTACCGGTTAGACAAATCATGCGGAGCGAATGATGATCCTGCGATTTGGTCTGCACGTGATTGGTCTAGCCGTTGATAACAAACGCTCAAAGCCGACTATCGCCGTAACGATGCACTTTTGGTGCTGCTTGACTGACTACATCAGATCGTAGTGTCGGCTGCGGTCTCAGCTTAAAGGTGCACTGAAGAGCTTTCTGAGATCGCCTAAATATGGCGATAACTCACTCTACAGGCTCTAAGCATCCTAGAAATCCATACGCGGCCGACTTTCCTATTTAAAGAAAAAAAAGATGTAATCAAAGATCGTAACTCACCGAGGTCATCTCAGGCAACGGAAGGAGCATGTTCCGAAATCAGTGCCACTGTCAGCCAATAGCGAGCTAAGGATTCTCGCGCTTCCGACCGCTGGAAGCGCGGAGTGATATTTCGAATGCACGTGGCTCGCTCGCTTCCGTGCAGCCCGAACTACGTTCAACCCAGCGAGCGAGTGCTCGAGCGCTCGAGAGCTGACGACCGGACACATCACTCACGCAAAAGACAAAGAAAGAAAAAAAAAAAGCGCAGTTGAGACGATTATTGCAGTATTGTGTTCCTTCTCCGCGAAAAATTAACATTTTAGAGCGCAGCCCGCAGAGTGAGGTATCGCCCTATTTAGGCGATCTTAGAAACCTCCTTAGAAAACCTTTAAAGTGACACGCCGTATATACTATTCGCCACCCCAACGCCTTATAGATGGCGCGGCGGTAGTTGCAAGATGGCGGAAGAGACGGGATAGATATTACATTCGGCATCTAGCTGACGCTGGCCAGTGTGCTTAAGTTAGTTCATTTGGCTACAAATGCGACATGGTAAGGGCAGGAGCGAATCAAAGGGCTCGATGATGTCCATGTGCGTTAAGATAACAAGCTTTTTTTTTTTTTAAGTCGCGGAAACATCGCAGAACTTGTGACGCTTTGCGAAAGGCGAGAGCGTTTTGGGCGCCGGTCACATCGTTTTGTATGCCAAAATATTTGTTGGGCGGTGAAAATATCGAGGTGTTTGCGCTGTGCTGGCCACCAGTGCTCTGATACATGAGCCGTGCATGCTGAGCGTCAAGCTCCGGTGAAGCAGCGTTCCTGTGTCATAGGTCCACAGCTCACTGCACACCGTCGCGGTATTAGTACATTGCAACACCTGATCAACCTGCGCCGTGGTTACTTATAAACAGTTTTAGCATAGAGTTCCTGCTGGCTGTCGTACGGTGAGGAATTGCCACCAAAATCGTGCTGCAGCTTTGACGTACGATTTGCAGCGCCGTACATCAGGAGCGTTTCCGTTCCTACTGTAGCCTGCGGTAACGCCATGCAAGAACTGCATAATAATACAATCGGCGTTTTTTTTTTTTTATTTCTATGTCAAAATAAATATTCAGATATATAATATACTACTCCTGTGTACCGTGCTATTCGCACCGTCCAGTCCCGCGTCGCCAAAACTGTCCGTTCTAAGCACACCTCACCACCGGCCCACAGACGCGCTGAAAAATGTTACTAACATTTTTTTTTTATTTGCCTTTGTAATTAATTGAAAGCAGGTACCCTTAGTTTGTCTTCTATAAGTGATAACTGTCGTTTTTCTTGTAACGGAATTGCAGCGCATAAAATACGAATCCATTCCCGATGTCTATCACTGGATACACCGCGTTGCATAAGCAGTTCCCTTCTACTTGCTAGAAAGAATGAACTTTTCGTAGATTGTACGCAAGAGGTTTGCAGCACTAGCTTTTGCCGTCACATTGAGCACAGTTTGGGCCGGCAACCGCGGGACCCGAAATCCGTACCGTACGCGGTCTACGAAAAGTTTCTATTGAAATGAGACATCCCGGTCCCTTTGTGCGAAGCAGACCACAACAATTCCTATTTTAACGCACTCGCGTTTTGCGTGAAAACTACACTATGCACGAACACGACGACCAGTACTTTAGCACCAAGGCCGACGGTCCCTGCCGCCGTTCCCGCCACTCTGGTTCTTCATTCGCCCGCGAGAGGGCGAGCGGCGAGCTGGTGTTGTGAATAACCTTATACACTCTAAAAAAAAAAAGCCCGTGCGTCAACTTTCCCGCGCAACACTCTGAGATCCTACCACCGCAGCTTACGGAGGTAGCTCAGCGAATGACGATGCGGAAACATGTGTTTAGACCAAAAAACACAGTCTGAGTTGTGACATTAAGCAATGCAACCGTAACGTTTTGCATTGCTTAATGTCACAACTCAGACTGCGTTTTTTTCGTTTAAACATATGTTTCGGCATCGTCATTCGCTGAGCCGCCTCCGTAAGTTGCGGTGATTGTCTGTCTGAGTGTTGTGCGGGAAAGTTGACGCACGGGCTTTTTTTAGAGTGGAGGTAAAAAATCGTCGTGGTATCCCTTGAAAGTTTGTTTCTCCACATGCACGGTGAATGAGCGGGGAAGACACCTTTTCGTCATTCTTCTCCAGCTCGCTTGCACCATTGCATTTAATTGCATTATAATCAAGACACCTTGCGGCATTTCGCAATGATTCTCTAAACAATTTATGACCCATATAGAGACAAATCTGAAAATGATATAGCATTATTAGCAGCCGCCTCGGTGGCTCCGAGGCGAGAGCGCCGGCCTACGGATCCCCAGGTGGCGGGTTCGAATCCCGACCGAGGTGCCCGCAATCTGACGGAGGCTTATTGCGGAGAAGGCGCCGTGTAACCGAGCTTTCGGTTGCACGTCAAAAGATCTCCAGGTGGTCGAAATTAATCCTCAGTCCTCCGCTGGGGCGTGCCAGATGCCCGTCGTAGGTTTGGCACGTAAAACCCCCAAATTTGACTTTTTTTAGCATTATTAGCGGGATTCTCAATTCAAACTCGTTCAAGATAATCTCCCTTGCTTTGTACAGTTAATATTATCAAAGAACAAACAAAATAGTGTCGGCGGGTGATGTGAACCACGTTGAAATAAAATATCGTTAATTGTAAAACTACTAAAACAGGAGGAAGATAGTTGCCATTTATGGTGTCATTTATCAAGGAAAGTATGGTAGGCAAGCATAGCCGGAACATCAAATTAACCTGCGGTTCATTTTTTTTTTTTTTTTCATTGAGCAAAATGCATTTATGTCATATGGTTGTTTCATATTGTGTTAGGGGATATATCGGTCGTAAGGATGCTTCTTTTTTTTCTTTTTTAATACGGCCAGTTCCCCTCCCCCTCTTCTTTTTTTTTTTTTTCTACTCGTTCCCGGTGACGCACGATTTCGCCACCAAACAGAACCTTAAGCGGGGCACTCTCTTTGTCGCACTTTGGGGTAAAAAGGAAAGAGCACTGCTTTGCGTCAATCTATCTCAAGATGTACGGCAGCGAAGACAGCAAGCTCAAGCTCCTTACTCCAGGACGCACCCTCTCTCTCACTCGCTCAGCAGAAACAGCTGAAAGGGCTATGAGCTCGAGCATCTAGCCATCGGCACGAGAGATCCTAAAGGGAAACAGAGCCTAGAGGCATTCAAGAGACACTGGCAGTTAGTGGGCCAAGGGGGGGGGGGGAAGGGGGGGATTTTACTGACCTTTTTCTTTAATGTCGGGTTCGGTGAAATAAAAGGATTACGGGGTCCTGCAATTAAATACAAATTTATCCCCAAAAGTAACGCGTCCATTATAAAAATAAAAGTAAGGATCTTCGAGTTTGGTCTTGACTAACCGGCGACAAAACAAAGCGTGCTTGCGAACAAGCTGTACCGCTCAAGTTTTCTGGGGTCGTCGAGAAAAGCTACTTTTGATGTTGAAACTAAGTCAAAAGTTTCGGGTGAGCTGACTGACACCGAACCCCTAAAGCCGCGCTCCCACTGCGCATACGTTAAACAAAGGACAGCCTTTAGGCACTCTATGGGGCCTTTTTTTTTCCTTGTATGCCGGTGTCATTGATCACACAAAAACTGTCTGCGGGCATGTTTGAAACTTTGTTTGCTTAGAAGTTTTGATTGTTTTCTACTGTAAATAAAATTTATTATTTTTTTTTACTCTTATAGATATGTACGAAGCACACATGTTTGGAGCATATGCTCGAGCTATGTCCGCCGGTAATTCTGTCACCATGTTTTCGGCGGACATCTTGTCTTTTGTATGGTATGTCAGCGTTGGGACTGCGGTTTAGAGCACGGGAAAGAAGGCACGAAAGGAAAATTGTTTGTCTGTCCACCAGTTTCGGTGGCTCTGGAACATTTTCGATCTGCGTATATTTCCTCAGTGTTTGCCCATCATTTTTTTTTACCTGGCGCTTGAAATAAACCTACCGATGCAATAATATAAGCGACCATTACTCATCGACAGTACGCACATTGAATCTCGCAAATAGGGCAGGAAGGGAAGGACGGGGTGACCAAAAAGGGAGAAAAGTGAACCCGGGTAATCGTTCCGCCTGGAATCTTTGTTCAGGAGGAGGGGAATGGGAGTGGCTAAAGAAGAGTTTGAAAGAGGAAAATAAGAAGAAAATAAAAAGCGAACAAGTCACAAAACTTGAACCCTATAAACACGGCCCTGTTCACGAACACCAGGGTTTATAATCCCGGCGCGCTTTCTTTCTGAAACAAACAGGATGTTGAGTGTTCGTTACTCCTTTGTGTGATCCGTCTCAGGCGCCAAGCACCTCTACCGCAGAGAAGGAACGGTTATCGCCAACACGGGAAAACCTTCAGTCTACTTATACATATATAAGTATACTGAGGTCGAAAATGTTCCAGGGTTACCCGATAGATGATGCCAGTACGCTCTCTCGTCCTAAGTGGTCACAGTACCACTCTCCAAGTTACACCGACTAGACGAGCCCCCACCCGACTAAACCTCCCGACCGCCGTAAGTAGATCCAAGACTTTCTGCTTTTTTACGTGCAAAAAGGTCGGTATCACTCAGCTCATCTAGACACCTATCTTTTCACCCATTACATTTTCTTCTACACCCCCCCCCCCCCCCCCCTCCACCCTCACTTTTTCTCCGGCCCGGATGACTTTAGTTAAGAGAACCGATGCGTGTCCATTCTCAAGTAAATAAGCAACTGTCCCATCATTTTCCTCAGTAGTCACAAGTGGCTTCGACGCAGTCAATCAGGCTCAAATAAAAAAAATATATATATATGAACTGGTCTCACGTCTGAACTGTGACTCGACAAAATAAATGTCGGGCCTCTGATCCGGCCACCTTGTACTTGTAGTCCCTCCAACCGGGCGTGTTGCCTGTTCCGCGTGTGTGCCAGCAGCAGGTTCCGGCGAGCTACGAGACCCGGTACCCGGTGAGCCGGCGCGCCTCGGACGGGCTCCGGGAGATCGTGGTCCGGCTCCGGTTCGTGGTGCAGCCCAAGCACTACCACAACGACGAGCTCCGGCTCCGGTGCACCGCCACCTTCTCCAAGCTGCTCACGCTCAGCTCCGAGGAAACGGTCCTGGTCGCCTCCCAGCAGACCTCCGGCTTCCACATAGCCTACAACAGGGGGCCGTCCGGTGAGTGCGCCATCATCATTTCATAAAGAGTTCATTAACCGTTTGGTTTGCACATAATTTGCGAACCTTTGTACGAATTTGCGAACCACTCTACGCCACACAAAGTGGTGTAGAGTGGTGTAGGTTATACGCTTCATGCGAAAAATTTCCATTTGCGTAGGCCAATCCATTGTTTTCACCTTTTGATTAGGTGTGAATATTGTAAACAATTTGTTAACATTGAACGTATGACTGGAACAAACTAGGTGATTCTAAAATCCAAATATCATGGTTCACGTACCCAAACGTGAGAGGGCATAAGTTGAAACAAAATATTAATATAACTTGTATTCCCCGCTTAAAAGGAACCCTACGGAAGCTTATAAAAAAAAAAGCGGCTGAAGTTTGGCGGGAATTCTTAGCTTCGTCAATCTTAATGAAGCTGGGAGCGAGTAAGGCTGTGTTCCAAGTCTTACCCAAATCAACCTGAGTTACTCCGGCGGTTGGTGTCACGTGACAACACAGATTGAAGAGCGCTGGACGCGGGTAGGTTTTGGAACGCCAAGGTGCAAAACTCTTACACTGGAGTAAGAACGAGTATATTTTGGAACACGGCTTAAGAGAGAAAGAGATAAAACATTGCAGATGAGGGTGGGGAGCATTTGTCCAGTCTCTTAGGCCGAAAGTCCCACTACTTATACACCGTGCAAAAGACACGATGTTTGCTGCAAACATGATGGCAGAATAGGGAGTATTAGTGAACCGTTCTTTTCCCGTACGATACGCTACGATGGGCCCTCCGGTACGAACTGAACATGCGCTACCGGAAAAGACTGACGCATGGGCAGTTCTTACCGTATCGGATGTGTAAGAACGGTTCCCTAAAACTCCCTAAGGATCTACAAAATGTTCCAAGCCCGTTCGATGCATGTGTATGAGTGTATCATGTCTGCAGACAGTTTTTCGTATGATTAAAGTGGCACGGACGTCCTACAAGAAAAAAAAACAATTCTCCGACGGTGTCTGCACACTGCCTATTGCATGATGTATTGGCAGTGTATCCGCGGTTTTTGCCCATAGGCTGTCGCTGGTCTGAGGCTTCCAGGAGGATCCTTCCGCAGATATTTCTGGAAGCCTCGACCGCCTCCTGTTACGTTTAAATGTCCTTTTTTCGGCGAGAAGAGCAAGGAGGCAGGACGGCTGCTGACGCAAAAATACTCTGAAACGGGAAAATGAAACAAATCGGATATGGTGCTGTGCTCTTCTCATATTGGCCTTTCCAGATCCTAAAATTGGTTCCTTCTTTTTTTTACGCGTGTTGTTTTGCTTTAATATTTTCTTCTCCTTTTTCCAGGAAGGAGAACGTGCAGGGGGGCCTCTCTCTTCTGGACTGCCGTGGAAGCGGCGTTTGTTTTCCTTCTGTTGCGTTAGTGTGTGCCAGTGTCATCGTTTCCTCGTGCGCCTCGCGTGTGGTGATGTCTGTCGAGCGCACCAATCGGCACTCCTTGTGCGCTTCTTGGATGGTGACGTCAGTCGAGTGCCGCCAATCGGCAATCCTGGTGCACCATGGGGATGGTGACGTCGGTCGGGCGCCGCCAATCCCCGGCTCTCGTGAGTCCCGCGAATGGTGACGTGAGTAGAGCGCGGCCAATCAGCAATCCTCGTGCTCCACGCGGATGGTGGCGTCTGTCGGGCGCCGCCAATCAGCAGTCATGGTGTCCCTCACGGATGGTGACTTCAATCGAGCGTCGTCAATCACCAGTCCTCGTGCACCTCGCAGATTGTGACGTCTGACGGGTGCCGCCAATGAGCAGTCGCTTCCCTGCACGGCCTGTTTAACGTACAGAAAGGGAGAAGAGAAGACACTAGTACAGCGTGCCACTGAGGATGCTGTCCAAACTGCCTTCGCTATAGCTCGGTCGACCTTTGGACTGACTGTTCAGTGCTGTTGCCAACGTCTTTGCCAGAACCAAGTGTGGCTTTGTGTCGAGATAATCTGGCCATAATTTCTAAAGCTAGGGTCACACGGCTTATACATCACACAAAAGACAGTTCGCATACAGATTCGAATGCGGGTCACCGCGAGATCTGTGCTTTGAATGCCGCATGGCAGAGTTCTATAGGGAAACGTGGCACGGAGGCGTTTGAACCACAAATATTGCGGTGACTCGTGTTTCAAGACTGTCTTTTGTATAATATATGATTAGTGTGACGCCGGCTTAAGGACTAGGAAATATAACCACGCGACCATTTCATATGGTCCTGAAGAAATCGTGAGTAGATAAGCTGAAAAAAAAACTTCTTGGAAAAAAAATGAAGATCTCCCAGCGATAAGGGTCTTTATGAGGCCACCATCAATTCAAGAATCAGGCATCTTCAAATGACAAACCGTCGGCATTTAAGAAAGCAAGGTAAGTGCGTTTATCTTTTAGGTTCATAGAGGGAGTTTTACAATTGACTCACCGGCGCTGACTAACGCGTAGTCAGAAGGTCCAAGAGGCGGAGCTATTTGAGCTTTCGAAATATCATTATTGACGTCCTGAGGTTGTCCTGCGTTTTGAGACAGTAAAGACTGAATCGCGTGTAAGCCATTTAGCGAGCGACAAGGCGAGCGACGGAGATTTCTCACTGTCGCTCCTGGCGTCGCTCGTTTTTTGGGGTTTCTAGAAAACGGCGGTCATCGCAAGGGTCGCTTGCTCCCGTCGCTTTCATGCGGTCTGCCTCGGCGCGCGAGTAGCTGAGCGACAGTGAAGCGGGTTGCTGTCGCTTGTCTCGTCTCTTGCGAAATCGCTTACATGCGGTTTATACTTAACAGCACAGTTTTAGATGTAAGGCATCTGAATTGGTTTTCGGTACATAAGACACGCATTTGGCGCAAAATAGTTTGCCTACAATACTCCCGAGCCTTAGGTGCTAATGCCAGGCACGTATCCGGAGGAGGGGAGCCGATGAAGCCAACCCCCCCCCCCCCCCCCCCTCCAAAAAAAAAAAAATTCATTTTGCTGGGGCCTCTTCTCCCCCCTCCGTCTCATAAAGTATTTTGTCATACGCGCCCCCTCCCCCTCCCCCCCCCCCCTGCCAAAGGAAAAAAATCCTGGCTACGTGCCTGGCTAATACCATTATTTCTCCTCATTTCCTTAAGAAATATTTGTACTTCGTGAAGTGAGACTGAAGCATCATGTCCCTACAGGACCACTAAATATCAAACAATTGCCAGCAACCCAGTAGAAGACCACCCGTTCAGTGACCAAAGAGTAAACAATAAACCTCCAATCTCTAGATCGTCGTTATTGGTTTTCTGCGTGCTCACCTGTAAAGTAAAAATAGCGGCATTTGTTTATAGTGCTACCTGCTCAACAGCGAACATTTCTTGCTTTCCAGTTTTTCACAGTCAAAGATCTTCCTTCGTGCCACCGTACCCTGTAACTCTCTAGCTCCGTGAAAGGTGGATTACGCGTCCTCCGGCTCTTGGGCGCCATAGAGCGGACGAAAACAGATATTTTGATCAAGTCATCGAGCACGCGTGCTTCGTAGCAAGGCCATGTAAGGACTACCAACGGTAGACGGACATCGACAAAGATATCAAGGGGAATAATAAAAAGTGCCTCGACTATGCAACCGGGGATGTTCTGTCTCTCTCTATATCTTCCTCTTTCTTTCCTTTCCTCTTTCTCTCTTTCTCTCTTTCTCCTCCTTTTGATTCATGCACACGCACCCCGAGTTTGTCTGGTAACGTGTCTCAAGAAATCGCGTGTTTATCTGACACATGGTCATTCGAGAATTCCTTGCCAGCTGAAGGGGAACTTATATGTACGAACGTAACTTACGCTGTCTGAATCCAGCGTACATGGCTCGAGTTCATGCGGTGGGGTGCACACCACATGAACTCACTGCGTGGGCGGTAGCATGCGCGACCGACTAAAAGTATACATTCAACCTCGAAGAACATGTCCAGCCACTCACTGCCCAAGGTAAGGATATAGCAAAAATTACTACGATGCCACTACGATTCTCGAGGTAAGAATATACCGAACACAATTGGGGATTTTGGTTACAGGAACGAAGTTTGCAGTAATTACTGTGAACTTGTAAAGGAATTACATTTGGTTTCTTTCCTGTATAGGGATAGGTTACGGAAAGTGTCGCCTAATTCTGCGAAGTAGGCAATTGAACCATTTTGTACGTCGATACTTAGAAGCCTATTACTGGCGATGCTTTTGGCTCTCTGTCTGAGTACCGCACGTTATGCTAGTCGCAGATTAAAAGGACCTTATTATTATTAAAATATTACGACGCCCAACGAATTAGATTAAAATGTGGGGAGGTCTTCAAGATTAACGCCGCGTTTCCGCCTTAGCTCCGTCATGCTAGTCAGCTATTCAAGAAGTAGCTTCATTGAAATATGAGAACGACGCTGCCACTGACTTCGCAGAGTCGGCTAAGATGTGGCAATTGTTGCATAAAAAAAGAAAAAATATCTAATGTTGAAATAGCGTTCACAATGGGCCCACTGTGTTGATCATTTTAAATGTTCTTCGCTTTTTGGAATTACCCTAAACAATCGGAAATGTGCTGGAAATCAGAAATATAAAGTTATGCCTTTTTTGTATTCCGTTTGAAATGAAAGCAGACGAGGAGAAGCTAGCACAGTGTGCCGCCATCCGCAATATATTTTTAATCCACAATACAAAATAATCAAAAAAGAAAGCTTGAAATATGGCTTGCAGTGTCGGTTATTTTTTGTTTGCGGCATGAATACGACCGACTGAAAAAAATTGAAACTCTTACCAAGTTTCAATAAAAACCAAATATCTTACATTTCTGGACCAGCTTGGTCTCTTCGTCACGGGTGACTTGCACGCCTTCTTGGGAGGTCGATGCGGGGCAGTGACGTCCGTGACGTCACTGCCAGAAACGTAAAAACAACCAAAAAAATGTCTTTTTTTTTTTCTTTTTACGTTTTGCAAAGAGCTTGTTGCAGGCTGTTGTGTGGCGGGGGGAGGCGGCGGTCGCGGCGTGTTATTGTTACAGTGCCATACGCTAAAGAACAGAGGCCAGATACACAAAACGATCTTACGCCAAGAATGTGCGTACGACAAACGCTCCGGAGCCGTCTTTCCACGATCAAATCAACATGGCCGACAACGTCGCTCAGTTACTTGGTCGCGACGACCAACGGACATTTATTTTTCTACGTGCTCTTCTCGCGCGTCCCGACTTCAAGCAGCAAGAAAAAAGAAGAAGTACTTGAAACCGACCACGACGAACATGAACGATGGATCCACAAACACCCGGAAAAAGGTACACCGGCAACGATGCCATCGACCGAGCGAGCTCGAGGCTTAGCAGGCACTCCGACTCGTCGCAGCGTTGCCGGCGTTGCTCCGACGGTCCTTGGCCAAGACCGTCTGCCCACGACCGACCGGCTGGCTTGCTGAATGGAATACGCGACCCTTGTGGACCCTTTCCGTGTTATAGTTCGATCGCTGACCTCAACTTTAGATTAAGGGGTCATTCAGCAAGTATTATCACACAAAACACATACCGTGTTTTGTGTGATAATAAACGCCGTATGGATTACTTTTGCAACACGGTATGTGCAGTTTGTTATTAGTGGACCATTTTTATTCTGACACGCTTGTCGCCGCGGGGGTGCGTTCACGCTCAATTGTTTCCGATAGTATACATTACTGTCGAGTAACAGTTCGTGGGAGCTAAGCAATGCCGGTCCCCCCTTTCTTTGCCGTGAGTCACGTCAGTATCGACTGGTACTCGTAAAAGGTCGGTCCCGAAGCACTTCGATCAAACATACGCGTCCGCTCCGAGTGTGCACAGGTATTTACGTGGCTCTTTCTGACACTCTCGCAGTTGAAACGTCGGCTCGCTCCTGCATCTCCGAGGCCGCGAAAAATGCCGCGGCCATTTGTTTCCATCTACGTCGCTTTGCAAACGACTGGCACGGGCCGTTATTTAGCAACTATGACAGTTGTGTTGACTTCGGAGGAAGGAGCTGGGAGCATACTCCGGAGGAGTACTGTTGTGTGTTGGCAACCGAGGATATCCAGGGATGCCGGTGAACTGGTGCACGCGCGCAGGCACGAGACGTTCGACTGCTCTGGCCCCAACCCGGTCGGTTGTGCCCGCTGTATGCTGTAATGTATATATGATGTAAAGATTAAATACACAACATTGGCGACGAAGTGGAGTCAACCTGCGGCGGAAGACCTTCTAGAGCGCCGTTCGCGGCGCCATGGCAGAAGCAAAGGCATCAGCGGCGCCGGCATTCGGCGGCATCGAAGAGTTCGCACCGAGCACCGGTGCAACATGGCCACTGTACCACGAAAGACTTGAGTTCTACTTTATCGCAAATGAGATCAAGTCAGCCGAGAAGAAGCGTGCAATCCTGTGCACGGTCTGCGGGGCGGCCATTTACGCCATCGTTCGTTCACTCTGCTCACCGGCTCTACCTTCCGAGACGAGCTACGACGACATCGTCTCGCGACTGGCGGCCCACTTCAACCCGAGGCCGTCCGCCATTGTTCAGCGTTTCCAGTTCGGGAAGCGCGACCAGCGTCAAGGAGAAAGTATCGCCGACTACATCGCCGAGCTTCGTCGGCTGTCGGAGCACTGCGCTTTCGGGCCAACGTTGGACGACATGCTCCGAGACAGGTTAGTCTGCGGCCTCCGGGAAGAGTCCCTTCAGCGACGGCTTCTCTCCGAGCCGGAACTAACCTTCGCGGTGGCCAAAGAGAAGGCGATAGCAGCAGAGTACGCCCACCACCAGACAGAAAAGATCAGGGGGGCGTCCGCAGAGAGCAGCGATGTGTGTCGTGTTGGTAAGCAAATGGCTCCGAGAGCTAAGCCTAATGCCGAGGCAGCAAGAGAAAGGACTGCGTCGAAGTCACAGCAGGACGCTGGCAAGTGTTTTCGCTGTGGAGGGTCACACTAACCAGACGAGTGTCATTTTCGACACGCACAGTGCCACTTTTGCAAGCAGCGGGGCCATATCGTGAAAGTTTGTCGACGAAAAGCGAAACAGTCCTCACCGACGCCTAGGCCTACAGGTGGCAGCCGCCAGAACGGCCGGCGGCGCGACAGTGAAACAGCGGATGTTTTCGGCATCTTCCAAATGACTGCCGAGGAACCTGCTATCCGCGTGGTCGTAGAAGTGAACGGGAACCCTCTCGAGATGGAAGTCGACTCAGGAGCGGTGTGCTCCGTGATCAACAAGAGAACTATGCGTCAGCTGCTGTTGTCCAAGCACAAGCTGCGACCGTGTGAACTACGTCTTCGCACGTACAACCAGCAGGAATTGAAGGTGCTAGGCTCCGTGATGGTCCAAGTTACCTATAAGGGGCGTCAAAAACGACTGCGTCTCGTCGTGATCAAGGGAGCAGGCGTAGGCTTGCTTGGCTGAGACTGGTTCAAGGCTCTTGGGATTGAGCCGAGAGTCAATCAGCTGGAAGAAGCAACGAACAATCAGAGCCCGTCCAGCGCAGCAGTGCTGAGTCGTCACGCCGACGTTTTCCAACCAGGTCTAGGCAAGAGCAAGGGACCACCAGTTCGAGTCGAAGTGGAACCGACTGCCCAGCCCAAGTTTTTCAAACCGCGTCCAGTTCCCTTTGCCTTACTACCAAAAGTGGATGAAGCCTTGGACAAGCTCATCAGGCAAGGCATTTTGGAACCGGTCCGACATTCCAGTTGGGCGACTCCAATAGTACCTGTGGTAAAAAAGGATGGCACAGTGCGAATCTGTGGCGACTACAAGAGTACGGTAAACCCTGTGGTCCGTTGGGAAAGCTACCCCCTACCCACACCTGAGGAACTTTTCGCGAAGCTGGCAGGCTGTGCAAGGTTTTCCAAGCTTGATTTAGACCAAGCGTACCTGCAGCTGACAGTTGACAGTGAGACAGCTGACCTTCTCACCATCACCACACACCGTGGACTTTTCCGTGTCACGCGCCTACAGTTTGGA